TATTGTACTCATCCTGTATTATCCGGTGGGGCAGTAGATCGAATTGAAAGCTCTTCGTTAGATGAGGTGGTTGTGACCGATTCCATACCGATTAGTGAGGCTGCAAAATCCAGTCAAAAAATTCGTCAGTTGACAATCGCGCCTTTGCTCGCCGAAACCCTAACACGCATTAGCCGTGGTGAGTCGATAATTTCCTTGTTTGAGGATGCCTAAGACATCTATTGATTTGATTTAACAGTAAATTTTATCGTTTGTTTAGTATTTGTACGGCATGATCTAGTCCTTTGATTGTCAATGGACACATGCGCTCTTTGCCTAATAACTTTTGCAAAATATTGATGGACTCAATATATTCCCAAGAGCCTTGGGCTTGTGGATTGAGCCAGATGTAATGCTGAAAATGCTCTAGCAGGCGTTGCAGCCAAGTAGCGCCGGGTTCTGCATTGTTGTATTCAACTGAACCATGGGCATAAACGATTTCGTACGGGCTCATTGTGCCATCACCGACAAAAATAAGCTTGTAATCACTGGGAAAAGTACGGATCAATTCATAAGTATCGAGTTTTTCGGTGAATCGACGATAACTGTTGCGCCAAACAAAATCGTATACACAATTGTGAAAATAAAAAAACTCCATATGTTTGAATTCACTTTTGGCAGCTGAAAAAAGTTGCTCGGTACGGTGAATATGTTCATCCATACTGCCGCCCACGTCAAGCAACATTATGACTTTAATGTTGTTATGACGCTCCGGAATCATTTTGATATCTAAATAACCTGCGTTAACCGCTGTACTTTTAATTGTGCCATCTAAATCTAATTCGGTTTGCGCACCTTCACGAGCAAATCGACGCAAACGCCTCAGTGCCATTTTGAGATTACGTGTACCCAACTCCACAGAGTCATCGTAGTCTTTAAATTGTCGCTGCTCCCATATCTTTACAGCACTTTTATTGCCGCTACTCTCTTGTTTACCTATTCGATGACCTTGCGGATTGACACCACTATGCCCAAACGGAGAAGAGCCACCTGTTCCAATCCATTTACTTCCCCCTTCATGTTTTTCTTTTTGTTCCTCAAGGAGCTCTTTCAGACGCTTTTCAAGAGCATCCCAATCCATTTTCTTAATTTTATCAATTTCTTCAGGCGTCAGTTCGTTTTTGAGCTGATTGATGAGCCACTCTGGAGGGATATTAGGAGTCAGGCCAATTGGTAAAGCCAAGTTTTTGAAGTAATGAGAAAAAACTTTGTCGAACTTGTCAAAATGCGTTTCGTCTTTGACCAGTGACATGCGCGCAAGATAATAGAACTCCTCTACGGTTGGCGGATAGGGATTGCTAGGGTTAGGAGCAATGACATCCAACAACAGTAAAAATTCTTTTATCGAAACGGGGATTTTCGCTTGGCGAAGTTGGGAAAAAAAATCGATAAACATAATTTGTTAAATGTGAAGAGTTGGGAAATTGCCAACATGCTGATATTGCATAAATTCCGCGGCATTATGCCAATAATCTATCGAACCTACTTTGTCATGACTCCTCGCCGCATGTCTGTAATGCCTGAGTCACCATTTGCGAAGCACTTTTACAGGCCATTGATATGCAATGCTGCCATTTTCTCATATGGCTCAATACGCATAACGGTCACCTTCGCTTTAACGTTATGGGCTAAATCAGCATATGGTGTCCTCCTTGGGGAGTCACTTGAAGAAGCTCCACAAAGCTCGAACGCATAAACATCATTCTTAACTATTTCGCCGCTGGCGAAAATACGAGTTAAATAGCTTTTCAAAAAGGGTGTTGTCCTGCTCATTTTTTAATAACGCACCGTGCATCGGAGGCAGCCCATTGTTTTCGTTTGATGGGGTAAGTGCAGCGGCAGGCACATCTTCTGCCATGAGCAGTTTTATCCAATCGACCAGTTCAGAGGTGGTGGGCTTTTTCTTGATGCCGGGCAGCTCTCGGATCTGATAAAAGGTTTGCAGTGCCGCGCCGAGTAAATCGGCTTTAATGTGAGGGTGGTGAACATCCACGATAGCCTTCATCGTGTTTTCGTCTGGAAATTGTATGTAGTGGAAAAAACACCGTCTCAGAAAAGCATCGGGAAGTTCTTTTTCGTTGTTGGAGGTAATGATCACCAAAGGACGTTGTTTCGCAACTATAGTCTCACCCGTTTCGTAGACAAAAAACTCCATGCGGTCGAGTTCGCGGAGCAAATCATTGGGAAACTCAATGTCAGCCTTGTCGATTTCGTCAATTAATAAGACTACAGGGCTTTGAGCAGTAAAAGCTTGCCACAAAACGCCTTTTTTGATGTAATGTCGAATGTCTTTGACACGTTCGTCACCGAGTTGAGAATCACGCAAACGAGACACAGCATCGTATTCATATAACCCCTGCTGCGCTTTGGTGGTCGATTTGATATGCCATTGAATCAACGGTCGCCCAAAACTCTTAGCCACCTCTTCAGCCAATAGGGTTTTACCTGTCCCTGGCTCACCTTTAACTAATAAAGGACGTTCTAAGCGTAGTGCTGCATTTACCGCTAGCATTAAATCAGCAGTAGCTACGTAAGTGTCACTGCCTTGGAAACCTGTTTGTGTCATAACCTTTCTCCGATTTGGACTCTGCTTAAACGGATGAGCCCTATTTACAAATTTTGATCAATCATTTTGTGTCACGCAAACTCTAAATAGATAAGTCATAGACACGCATTTTCATTTTACTCTGTGCTAAGCCATCTCTTCGCATATACATCCCTATTTAGGGTGGGAATACGTTATTCCAACCCTAAATATACTAGGTATATAAGATATATTAGTTGACTTTTAAGACTTTGCGACCCCAATTTAATTGCGATCCCAACCGTGTATTTTGTTACTCCAACTCATTTTGCACTGGCAACGCCCTTATCGTCTTTCCTCATTCACAATGGATATCAAATGGATTGGGTTTCTAGCCTACGACGAGTCAGGTATTTATCTCTTTATAGCGTATGGTTTAGGATAACAAAGGGTAGAGAATGGCAACTCTGTCATTTCTTTTGGCCCTACCTAAAACAACTTTTGTATTACTGTACTGAGCAGCCTTATTTTGAATATTAATATCAACATAAACAATTTACACCGTTTTTGGTTAACTCATAACCGCAAATTATAATCGTATTTAACCTATCGGTTATAGACCATCATTAACGTAGGGTCATAGCCAAGGATGGGCGGCAAAGCAATCTGTGCGCGTTTACTTACCCAGATATCGCTAAACTGCTAGTTTTCACGGAAAAAATCAGATAAAATACAGGCTACGCCATGTTCTTTTGTGGCGGTCAAGTTATCGTCTAGGATTTTCTGATAGACATTAACCATTTATTAAATAAGGATACAATGTTACTCCGAGCATCTCAGTTATTTCTTTGCTTATCCTTAATGAGCACACTACTATTGTCTGCTTGTAGCACCACACCAGAATCACCCCCGTCAGCTTCCGTGCCAACCGCTAAGCAGGATTATCCCATAAATTCACGAGAAAAAATAGTCGAAAAGTCTTCTGGTCGTCCTAAGCTTGGGATCGCATTTGGCGGTGGGGCGGCGAAAGGATTTGCTCATGTCGGTGCGATCGCCGTACTTGAAAAAGCGGGAATACATCCTGATTTGGTGGTGGGCACCAGCGCAGGTAGCATCATTGCAGCGATTTATGCATCAGGCATGGGGGTGCCGAAAATGCTAAAGGTGGTTGAAAATTTTAAAGAAAGCGATGTACGTGATCTCACCCTTTCTGGCAAAGGGTTTGTAGAGGGCAAAAAACTCGAGGAGTATGTCAATACGCTGGTCAATAATCGCACAATAGAACAACTGCCCATCCCTTATGGTGCAGTAGCAACCAATTCTGCTACTGGAGAAGGAATATTGTTTCGTCGCGGCAACGTCGGGCAGGCGGCACGTGCTTCATCAAGTGTTCCTGGAGTATTTATCCCCGTTAAAATTGGGAAAAACGAATATGTTGATGGGGGTTTAACCAGTCCGGTCCCCGTATCGTATGCTAAACAGATGGGCGCAGATATCGTTGTCGCGATCGATATTTCGGATCGGGCAAAATTTAACTCCCCAAGCGGAATATTTTCTTTAATTAATCAAACGTTTACTATTGTACAGGAAAAAATTCTTAATCAAGAGCTCAAAGCGGCGGATATTGTTGTACAACCCAATATCAGCGAAATCGGCTCAACTGAGCTGGACAAAAAAATGGAGGCTGTAAAACAGGGTGAAAAAGCCATGTTAGCAAAATTACCCGCATTAAAGGCTTTGCTTGATCGCAAAGGCTGGAGAATGTCTGGTGGCAAATAATTTCGAATCACAAGGAAGCACCATGAGTGTATTTGATCGTTTTAAGCAATTTATTTATCAACCCGATAAACGCACTTATGAACTTGTTGAAAATGAAGAAATTATTGCGGTGGAACGTGAAGCTGCAGATTTATACATTGAAGGTTTAGCGTGCCCTATTAATCATGATGGGCGACCAAGGTTAGCTTTGGCTCTCGGGGGAGGAGCGACCAAAGGATATGCTCATATTGGTGTTTTGCGGATGCTCGATCATATGGGGGTGATTCCTGACATGATCATTGGTACCAGTGCGGGTAGCTTGGTGGGGGCCTTGTATGCTGCGGGGATGAGTTCAGCGCAACTGAGTCGATTGGCTTTGCAGCTGGAGGAGTCGGACATTCGGGATTTAACTTTATCTCGCCAAGGATTAGTCAAAGGCGAAAAATTACAAAACCTCGTCAACAATTTTGTCCAAAATCAACCTATTGAGGCTTTTTTAATTCCTTTTGCCGCAGTAGCCACAGAACCCAACAGTGGTCATACCGTCATTTTAGATCATGGTAACGCAGGACTCGCCGTTAGAGCTTCTTGTAGCATCCCTGGGGTGTTTATTCCTGTAGAGGTAGGCGGTCGATTGCTCGTTGATGGGGGCGTTTCTTGCCCAGTCCCAGTATCTGTCGCGCGCGAATTGGGGGCGGATATCGTTATTGCGGTCGACATTTCAGGCAAGCCTGAGCAAGATCGTGCAGAAGGTTTGTTTGGCATGATTGGTCAATCGATCAGTATTATGAACCGCCACATCCTGAATGCGGAGCTTTCACATGCAGATTTTGTTATTCAACCTGATGTCCAAGGCATACGCCTTGGAGATATGCGCTCTAAAGTCCATTTAATTCGACAAGGCTTTAAAGCAGCACATTCCCAATCGCATGAGTTGAGAAGCCTTCTTGAAAAAAACCATTGGTTTGAAAATGTTCAATCTTGGGACGATCATCACACCCAGATTTTAGAACCCGCAAACCAAAAAGATTGACCTACACAGAACTTATAGAATAATTCTTATATTTGTTTGGTTAAATTTGGACTATAATTATTCATGTTGCCTAGGTAATTCGATTGGGCAATGTTTGAAATATACTCTCTACCTACTTAAAAATGATTACTGAAAAAAAAACAAAAGCCGGCGTCGTTCGATCTACCGCAACTCAGACCACCCAAACTGCTAAGAAACCTTCGCCTAAAAAAACGAAGACTGCCCCAACAACCTTGCCTAAGACTTCGGTGAGTGCTAATAACACAAAAGTATCGATCGATGATCCGTCAAAAACCTTGACAGCCCAGACAAATGTCGACACCCCAATTGACCAATTGGTATCGCCCACGAAAAACGCAACGTCGTCCAGAAAAAAATCGGTTGACCCTAAAATGATGAGCGAAATTGTTAAGGTAAGTACAGCACCCGTTGCGGTTGCCGTCGCGACTGCGCCTCGGGGGTCAAAAGAAGACAGCGACAGTGCGCCTCTCCCCAAGGATTACCCTTATGACAAACGCATGCCACGTAAGGTTTACGAAAAAGAAAAAAAACTTCTTCAAATTGAATTACTTAAAGTTCAAAGCTGGGTTAAGGAATCTGGAGAGCGGATT